GGAAGACAGGTAAGTTGACTTTTTTTCAGCAAGTGCTATATTAGTCATGATATTCATATATCATTAGTCATTATATTCATCATGAACTCTATGTTCATATTGATTAACCATGAATAATAAAAGTTGAAGTGATTTCATAGAAATTAAAATGTAGATTGATACATAAATGTGCCTTATATTCATGGAATCCCACATTTTAGAGTTAGGAAAATACATTGCATTTTCCTGTTTATTGATGCCTTTTTGTTTTTCTCATAATAGTATTTTAATGACTTGTGTAAATTAGGGCATTTAAACATTTTGAAGCACTAGGATTGTAATGAATTTTAAAGTTTCTCTGCTGGAATATGACATTTGCTTTCTGTTCTATCTCCTTTACCCTCCTTATTTTCCACATTATTGGACACTTTAATAAACCTAAGTACATTGATATTTAAGTTTATTCTAAGAAACTATACCAAAAAATAATGTCATGTTTCTGGCACTTTAAAACATGATTTTGCTGATGTCTTTCCCAAAAAAATTTTAATGAAATCTCAACTTATTAAAATACATTTTAATGTAGGTTCCATTATGTGCCTAGAGGTTAAATATTGGAAACTAATCTTGCACGGTCATTTTCACTGCACTTTTAAGTGCAAAAATATTATGCATTTGGATTTGATTCTTTTGCATGATGAGATTGTTTGATTTAAAAACATGATGACCGAGGTGCTTATTTTTCAAATGGTTTAATTTTAGAAAATATCAGAAATATTTGTGCTTTGTGATTTTAATGCATATGATGTCATTTGCCTTTGACGTTCATAGTTACTACAGAAATTGAACTATTTATGGAGTAGTTCTTAGTAGTAGACCATTCCTGAGCCCTTGTGATACATGGAAACTCCTAAGAAGGATAAGTGACAGACGTGGTTATTTAAATAGATTCAAGCAGCACGTAAATGTCAAAGGCATTTATAAGGTTTCCCAGTTCACTTCAGTGTTCATCTCTGAATGTCTCTGTCCAATCCAAACTGATAGCAGTTAATGTGGCTTATTCAGTTAAGATTTTCTGAAGAAACACAGATCAAATGTGTTTATTTCAAGTGCAAGACTTCTGATGTGGTTAATTTTGTGGTCACTGTCTGGACACTGAAGATTGGTATCTCCAATATAATCCAAGAAATTAATATTCAGAAATATTATTGTTTTTTTCCTAGGTGAGTGGGCTATGAGAATGGATTCTTTAGGTTTTTACAACAGTTATTTTCTGACCCTAACATAACCAAGTTTTGGCACTGAACTGTTTTTGTGTCACCAATCTTGTATATTCTGGGGACCTTTATAAACATCTTCAATCTGTATGTTTCTTTTAGAATAACTTTCTATCTCTTTTCTTACAAAAGTAATCTTAAAAATGTAAACACTGAAGAGTAAGCTAACTGCTTTTTTTTTTTCATATGGCTGAAAATTTTCATGTTCCCCTAAAACCACCAACGATTGGCTCTGGGGGTTCATGAAATCACAGAATCACAGAATATGCTGAGTTGGAAGGGACCCACAAGGATCATCCAATCCAACTCCTGGCCTTGCACAGGACCATCCCCAAGAGTCACATCATGTGCCCGAGAGTATTGTCCAAACCCTTCTTGAACTCTGTCAGGCTCAGTGCTGTGACCACTTCCCTGGGGAGCCTGTTCCAGCACCCAGCCACCCTCTGGGTGAAGAATCTCTCTCTAATATCCAACCTAAACCTCCCCTGACACAACTTCAGGCCATTTCTGTGGGTCCTGTCACTGGTTACCACAGAGAAGAAATCAGTGCCTGCCCCTCCTCCTCACAAGGAAGTTGTAACTGCAGTGAGGTCTCCCCTCCAAGCTGAACAGACCAAGTGACCTCAGCAGCTCCTCATACGGCTTCCCCTCAAGGCCCTGCACCATCTCCATTGTCCTCCTTTTGACTCAACAGATGTTGTAGACTCTACGGGAAATTTCCTGAAGTAAATGGCCAGTTTAGCATGAAGGGGTTAACCTGGCTTGCCAGATGCACTATAGCTTTGACTAAAAGCATGGGCTTCTTCATAGCTTGGCATGAATTTTAGTATACAGACTGAGCAAAGGGCAACAACCTTTTCATTTCAGCCATTCTGACATTTACTCCCTGGGGAGCTTACCTGGCCAGTTTTTATTACTGAGAATATTACAGAGCACCGCTGAGAAGGGTCTGACTCTGTCTTCTTCATTCCCTCATGCAAGATATTTATACACTTGATAAGATCTCCCCAAGCCATCTTTTCAGGCTGAACAGTTCCAGCTCTCTCAGCCTCTCTTTTTGTCAGATTCTCTTATTTCTCAGTGATCTTTTTGTAGCTCTTTGCTGGACTCATTCAGGTTTAGAGCTCTTCCAAAGGCCAGCCCGTTAGCAAACTTGACATCTTTGTTTCAAGTTATTTCCATTTTAGTGACATGCCTAGAAGAACATTTCAATTGAGAATCACTATCCTCAGAAAGATTTGCTTAAGAAAGAAAAGGTGCCATTTTAAACTAGGTATGTTAGTAAATACTGTTTGTAAAGAGTTCAGTAAATTTACTCCCTAAACAGAATGTCAAGTCATACAATTACAAAATCAGGTAGTACACAGGCTGGCATGGAGCAAAGGCCAGTCTTTTCTATTCCATTCTGTCCTTGACCTCTGTACCTGGACTGCCACTGAGGGGAATGGTTGTGATGGTGACAGTGTACACAGTTGTCCCTTGCAAAGTACACGGAGCTCCTTGGTTCAAATCATGCCATTTGCTGTTGCATATGAGTCTGGTTTCACAGGGCAGTGGCTACACTTGCATCCACTGCTCTGTGCCCACAGCAGGCATTCATTCCCCTGCAAAATCTGCCTCTAAGAGTTTAATGTTTGTGAATGGCATTCTACAAATAAATAGCCCTAAGAAGACAGCAAAAAGTCTTTCAATCTATGTGCAGTCTGGATGGAAATGGACGCTCCATTTCCCATTAGTGGGCTTTTGAGCCAACTTTCTCCTAAGAGCTAGACTTATTCTTGTGGCCACACTTATTCTACACAGATAAAATTCTAGTTATTTTAATATTTAAAGCATTGTTGCAGGGTTAAAAATGTTTTAAATAGTAATTTGACTCTTGTTTCTTCCTTTTTTTTTTTTTCTAAATAATGCTGAAATAACTCCTACAATGAAAATTTTCTTCCCACCATTTCCTTTGAAAATTTGAACTTTTCTGTGTATTTTCTTTTTCTATTCCTAATGGAAAATATTGCCATTGTTGAAATCTGACTGGGAAATGCAGATGTGACTTCACTGTAGCTACTGCACTACCACAAATTTCCAGTTATAGCAAATATTCAAAAGAAGAATTTTCTTAGGCATTGCCTATGGACTGTAGAGATTGTAGAGATCCAGATTTGAGAATGAGTTAGAAGTTATAATTACTAAGTCTCTCCACCAGCTATGAGTTGCCAAATAGTGCAGAGATCAGTGGAGGTACACAATTAAAGAAATTTTGTGCCATGGCTAATACAAAACTACATGTTTCTGATTTACTTTAGATTAATTTAAGAGACTGTTATAACTCTTGCACATATACAGAACAAATGTCATTAAAATTTATTAGCAGAAGGAAATTTTTGTTTCAGTGAAGCCTGGATTGGTCTGCTTTCTGTAAAACTGCTGACAACAAGCAGTATTGTATAACAGGAACACTGACCTAGATTTTCAGAGGTGGTCAAATCTCAACATGTTTTGGTTGATTTGGATGAGTGACTGTAAACTCCTTTGAAAACCTCTGCCATAGGATTTCCATAGATAATTCAAACAGACTATTTGCATTACGTGTGTGAAGAGATTGTAAAGGACAGAACAGTAAAAAGTTCAATATTTTTATGAATATATGAAAGGAATATGAAAGGCTGAAGTAAATTTCTGGGAAAGACCAGGATGAATATATTAGTTTAATTCTGTACCTAGCTACTATTGAAGTGTTTTTTTATACTGCATTGGTGTCTCCATATTTAAATTATGTTTTTGCTTAATTTTTAAAGTGATGAACACAGACCTTTCAAATAACAGGCTTTTGCCTTTATTCTTTCAAAATTGGGAGGTGAAAAAAGTAGGTGAATTAGTTCTCTTGGTAACAATCATTCCTATCCTGCTCTAGTTACATGCCTAGAAAATAATTAACAGATTTTCTCTAATGCTTCCTAAAGATGTTGAAACTGGAGAACAAATATTGACTGAGAGGCAACAAAACTTGCCTGGACAGGAGAAAATAATGGTTTATATAACTGAAAACAGTTTGTCAAAAACAGAATAGAAATTGTGGAATATCTGATTTAAAACTGATGTCAAAAGGGTCATATGTGGTGTGTACATGTATTTGGCTATTTGCAGGTCACTCTTGGGTGCTGCTGCCTTTTCAGGACCACACAGAAGGGCTCTTTCACCCTCCTGAGGATCTGCAGGGCCCCAGTTCCTGTTGCTGAGACCCAATCATGAGATGAATTAGCACCCAAGACAGCCTTTTGGAAGCAAGAGGGAATCAGTCATGAGGACCTGAATTGATTCTGGCATGACCAGGCTTTCAGAAACATTAGCAGAAACTTGCAAGTATTATGTTTGCCACTGTTTATAAGGAAAAAGAGAAAAGGAATTTGGGAAGGAGGTGGAGGAAGCAAGTCTGCACCTTGTAACTGGGTTTAGCATATTGAGTGAGAAGGATTTTGGACTGCAGTGTGTAAGGTCACAGGGTAGAGGGAGGCAGTTCACTCTCCCCTGTGCAAAGATGGGGTGCATCTCATACCATTTGTTCTGCTCACACGTGGACACCCCTTCCCCCAGGTGCGAGCTCTGTTTTTGGGTCAGAAAAAGCAAAGAGAGGCATTTGTTCCTAGCATCTGCTTGGCTGCAGATCAGGGTCAAAGACCACCTGAGCCCATGGGTGTTACGCAAGAGGCTGTTATGAAGGGGCCCAGCCTGCAGCAGGCACTAACCCACGTACCTGCTCCCCCTCCAACTCTGGCTTTGTAGCGCAGGGGGTTGCGAAAGCCCCAGGACTACATAAAGCATTCCCCGCCTGGGCACTGCCACCACCATCAACACTTGGGCTCTCCAGAGGCTGCAGGTACCGGCACTGTCTGTAAGGGACCTGCTGCTGTGGGCTGGGGACAACCAGGTGCCTTGCCTGCACATGCATCAGGGAAAGCTGCACGATGCCCTGGAGACCTGGCAGGGCAGCCTCCCTCCCTTCCTCGCTTGTGTGACAGAGCCTGTTTCTGATGCTGTTCTCTGTCTGTCTGCTGCAGGTACAGGATGGCCCACACGGAGAGAGCTCTGCCCTGGCTGCTGCTGCTGGCGCTGGCCTTGCTGGGCAGCAGCACCGCGGAGCGGGACTGCCGAGTAAGCAGCTTCAAAGTCAAGGAGAACTTCGACAAGATCAGGGTAAATCTCCTTTCTCTCCTGGATCTGTGATGTCTTGCCTAGCTCTTCTTCCCAAGCTACAGAATTTGGTATTCAGTAGCACCAGTGTGTTCACATTTTCACTTGGAGTCACAGACTGCAATACTGAGAAAGAGCAGAAGTGTGTGATGTTGCCCACACCTCCACAGATGCTGGATCCTGATGCATCTGATAAAGTAATACTGCAGAAACTGAGGTTTAAAGAATAGTCTCAAACTGTATAAGTAAACTGTCTAAGCAAAAGAAGTGTGATGACTTTGTTGTTTCTATGAAAAATCAACACTCTGGTGTTTTCAGATATCACTGCAAGAAAAAAAAATCATACTTAGGTCTGTCAAGATCTGCCAGTTGTTAATCTCTTTCCACCAAATTTTGTATTTCTAATACTGGAGAACTGCAGATACAAATATGATAACTGAAAAAAAGTCAATATTTCCACAAACCCTGGCTGCAGTAGGATGTATTGGTAGATTTATGCTGTTGAAACAGCTAGATTTGTTTCTTAGACACAATTTGGAGCCATGGTGTCAAAGATCTATATGCCATTCCCTCTGTCACTTCCCCTAGTCTGTAGTGTCTGTGATGTTTCCATTCTTCTAGGTCTGACTGAAGCCTTTTTTATTTCCTTGCAGTACAGTGGCACCTGGTATGGTATGGCAAAAAAAGATCCTGAGGGCCTATTTCTGCGGGACAATGTGGTAGCCCAGTTCACCGTAGATGAGAACGGACAAATGAGTGCTACTGCAAAGGGCAGAGTCAGACTCTTCAAGTAAGCTGTTTGCAATTTTCTTCTTGTTCCATTTCACTAAGCTTCTGCTGCCCTTACTGGTGCTCTGATCCTGCCTGCTATCCCTGTGTCAGTCATACTGAATCTGTGCTGTGAGGTTTGACTGTGATGTTTTCTTTGTCTCTGGCTACAGTAACTGGGATGTCTGTGCTGACATGGTCGGCTCTTTCACTGACACAGAGGATCCTGCCAAGTTCAAGATGAAGTATTGGGGTGTTGCCTCTTTTCTGCAGAAAGGAAGTGAGTACTTAACTACAGAAGATGCAGAACTACTTGGAAGCCTAGTTATATTGCGTGTCCATGCTGGGGCAGGAAAAAGTACTGTTGGGTTTCTTAAGCACATTTAAAAGAGGTAATAACCCTCATACACAAAACTTTAATGTGAACAAGGTAATCACTTCTTTTTATATGGGACAGCTGGCTGACTTTCTTTAAACAAGTGAAGATCAGGCCTTTGTATACCTTTGCATTTCTTTTGTTTGTTACCCAACAATATAATCGAAGGTCACTGTTTGGAAAGAAATGAAAGGCAGATGAAGTATTTCAAGACTTGGTTTAGTTCAGAACTCAGTTACCGGATGTTTCTGCTCTCTCTGAAAAGCCTAATGTCAGACCTAGCCAAGCAGCGAAGAGGATTTAGCAAATGTTATTTTGTTTGGTCTTCTGTCTGAAAATGCAGAGATTTCTCTGTTTTATGAGACAAAAACTATCCTATAAATATTTTAAATGTGTCTATATATTAGTATTTTTAGGTAACTTGTCACACTCTATGCAAAACTAGTTTCTCGAGCCAAGTAGAGATTCAGACGCTTTGTAGCTCAAGACATTTCCTTGGATTGCTTCCAAGAGAAGCAGGTGGAATTTGAAAGTGACAGGAGCTCCACTCTGTCCAAATACCCAGTTAAAAGAATGTTTTGAATGCCAGTGGCTTATAAATTGTTGCCAGGTCTCCTCACAACATGCTGCTGAATCACGGATGCTTCAGATTGCTGGCTGAGGCCAGATTCTACCTTTCTAAAAAGCCTGGTGTCCTCCCGCAGGAGAGAAGGGGAGAGAACATAGTGCTGCTTTCAGCGGAGCAGATGGTAGTGCAAGGGAGAACCTTTTGCCCCAGGAGAGGAAGGTGCAGATCTAACATGCTTTACTGCAAGCACTTAGATTCACTTCTGTAAACACACAGTGTCTGTGTGACCAGGTATTTATCAGGTTACATAGCTAAATAGTTCAGAATTCTTTGAAATTGTAACTGTGTTTAAGAAGAGGGTTTATTGTAGCAAATACACTTCTAACACACATGCAGAGTTGCTTGACCATCTTTTTTCTCTAAAAATATAGTCTAAGTCACATCCCTGGTAGGAGAATGGAGTTTTGAGTCATATGGAACAGGACTAGCATGTCCTTGCTAAATATGTTTATTTTCTCTATAAAACAAACAACTTCTTCTGAAACATGGAATGAAATACTGGACACAGGAATTAACTACGAGCTAATCTGTTATAATTAGTACCAATCTTCATCTTAGTATTTTCTTTACAATTATGTCAGCAATCTCTTCTGATTTTCTAGGTTTTACTTGTGTCTCTAACACCTTTGTTTCTTTGCTGTGGTTTCTTCTAGATGATGATCACTGGATAGTGGACACAGATTATGATACATACGCTCTTCACTACTCCTGCCGCCAACTGAACGCAGACGGCACTTGTGCTAACAGCTATTCCTTTGTGTTCTCCCGGGACCCCAAGGGATTGCCTCCAGAGGCACAGAAAATTGTCAGGCAAAGGCAGATAGACCTCTGTTTGGACAGAAAATACAGAGTTATCGTTCATAATGGTAAGAACCTTCTTTTTCTGAAAAATTTTATTTCAGGGTTTAATGCATAAAGGGCTGGGATTCTCCTGCTCATTAAGTATCAAATGCATCAAGTCTTTTACTTAGTGGCTGTAACATTGTATTTTGAAAACTGGACCTTGCAGTAAGTTATTTCCAACTTTTTCTTCCCTTATCTGGAGGAGAGCTAAGGTCTATAGCTTTTTATGTAGCATATCAGATCATCTGAAACAGTAATTAGAGGAAGTTGTAAAAAAATTAAATCAATGTACTGTGAGTAAACATAGTAAGGATAGACTTTACGGTTGTGGTAAAAAGTAATTGTGTCTCTTTATCAGAACTCTTTGCCTTTTTTCAAAAATCTGTTTGAAAAGTTCTTTTAAAACTCTGTTAGGGAAAATCAGAAGCCTTGGAAGGGATCCTTATAGCAGACCCTTTCTCACAGGTCCTCATACCAACAAAAGGTAGTGGAAGAGGGTGGGGTAATGGAAGAGGGACATATCCCTCATACTGGAAGCATGATCCTATCTTGAGTCACACAGTCAGGCTGAGCTTGCAACACAGGGAAGGATACAGATTAGTTCACTTATGCTCAAGTACATTAGAAAAGGCAAAATAATAATCATCTAGAACAAAACATAATGTACTTTTTGATAAAAATTACACCTAGACTGGGGATAGTGAGAAATGAAGAAGAAAAATCAGAATATTTAGAACAAATAAAATAGTAGTGTACCTGTTCCTACATTCCCCTCACATTCTGGAAGACATGACATCTGCAGAAGACTTGACCAGTGAATCAGTGAACTCCCAATGTAACAATGTGGCAAAAGAGTTAATGTGATTCTTGGATGCATAAACCAAGACTCATGTAAGATTGTTGTGCTTGGCATAGGTCTGCTTGCTATGTCACATTTGATGACAATCATAACTGGAAGAGTACTGAGGATGAACTAGAAGTTTCAAAGAAAAGCAGAGAAAATGATTGAAAGTCTGTAAAATGTGTCCTCTAGTGAGTGCTTCAAAGACCTTGATATTTCTCGTTAGAAAGAGATTAAAGGCTGACCTGAGCAAAGTCTGTGCTCAGATAATAAAGGACTTGCAAACATAGAAATAATAAATTTAAATGGATGGAACTTTAAGCTGGACATTTAGAGCAGAAATAAATAGCCATTTGTTTAACTCCAAAGGTCATCAACCTTTGGAACAGTTTACCAAGAGCTGTTTTATGCTCATCACTGAAATCTGTAAATCAAGATTAAAAGCTTTTCTCAATGATATGTTAGAACAAACAGGGATTGACTGAAGAAACTTTTGTATCTTGTAAAGAAAGTCAGAACAGATGAGCACAGTCAGCTCTTGTGGCTGTTCATCTGCTCTATAAACAGGGAGGAAGATATTGCCATGTTGTAAAGTGGGTATGCTGATAACAGGGTACCTGAAAGATCTGCTAAGGTAGATGGTGATCAGTAACCTGCAAAAAATACCTGATAACAATGGAAACAAAAGTTTTGTCCTGAATGAGAATTTGGGGACAACATAAGACAGTTCAGACTTATGGCAGTCAAGAATAAGAGACACCATAAATGCAAATGAAACTGGCTTTAGTGAATGATTTGCATGATTGCATAAGGGTAGGATAGAAAAGAAACAATGTCATTATACAAATGGACAATACTTTTCTGTTTTGTATCCTGCATTCGCTGATTTTCAATGGAGGTACAGCAAGAATGAAAATTTCTGAAGATGAAAAATCAAATTATGAGATGATTAGGGAGATATTACATCTAAGATAAAATGTAGATATACAGCTGTGATTCTGAGAGCTGTGTGTTATTGTGGTTCCTTGTATTTTTGTCAAGCTCAGAGGAAGTACTATACTACTGTAAAATAAGGATATTGGGCTAGTTCAAGCACTGGTCCAATTCACCATGGTCGAATCTGTATTTCTATTATTTCTACTCCATATGAGGCTTGCAAGGCAATAAATGTATTGTCAATCTTTGCAAGGAAGTATAAACCAAAAAGAAAAATTGAATATATTAATTTATTCATAATTTGTGATATAATTTTTTCAAATATTTCAGAACTTCTATATAATACAATTTTGTGGTTTTTCGCAGAGTAGAGAACCAATACTGTAATTTAAACAGAAAAACCTCAGAATGCCTTTTGAAAGTTCAGCTTTAAATATTCTTTGACTTACTAACCTTAAGTAAAAAATTGATCATGCTTCCTCTAGTTTGTTATAGAAATATCAAATCAACCAAGTTGCACTGTTCTTTGTCTGCCATCCTAATTTATACTCAAATCTTAGGTGTTGAGCGCTGTGTTTGATATATCTGATACAAACACTGAGTTCCATACTGTTTGTAAAGAGAAAATAGTTGCCCTGGTCCTTTTTTATTGAGGATTATGCCAGCGTTTATCTTTATGAGCCCAGCACCAAAGTATAAATTAAAGCCAGCAACTTGCATTTTACCCTTTATGTAATCAGGACCTGTAGTTACTACATTGTTAGTTGATTCTGAATTCTCCAGTATCATTAACCAAAGTTCCTGCAAGGCAAGTACATTTGGGAGTGAAAGAATGATTGTGAGCTAAACTGAAAAAAATCATTTATTGAAAGCTTTATATCAGAAAGTCTTACAAAATTCGCTTAATTCCTTATGTGTGGATTGCAAGCCTTGCTGCTTTAGTGTTAAGTCTGCCATTAAGAGAGACAGATTTACTAACAAAACAAGCCAACATCAATTGTCTGTATTGACCTGCATCCCATTGTTACTGCGGTAAAATTCTGACTGATGTTAATAGATGCTGCAGTAACAGCTTGTGTCTGTTTCTAATTGTGCATACTCTGCTATGTCTTGAAGCTAATTGTTTTTGCCAATGATTTTTCATTAGCTTTTTAAAATAATACTGTACTCAAATTAAGAGTGTGTGTGTGCGCACACGTGTGTGTGCCAAACCAATAGATGTACAAAACTAACCTTGATTAAAAATCCCCCCAAAATAAAATATGTGTTCTTCATATACTGGGTCTTCAAGGCAAAAAGAGAAGCCTAGGAAATGACAAGTTTTTTGTTCTAACTTACATTGCATTTCTGATGGTAGCTCTTTTTCAAATACAGATCAAGCTATGATACACTGAGCCTCTTAGAGTAATAGCTTGTTATTTTAAGTTATGCAATGTGAGTGTGGATATTAAGTGAGAATACTTGTAAATACAATACAGTGTGAATTAAAGGGTGGTATATTCCCTCAGCTAATTTACTGTTGCCATTAGAAGTTTTGGAGGTCAGGAGATTCTTATTTTGCTGAAAGACATTCTTAAATTATTAGTTTTTAAAAGGCAAATAATTTGAAACTTGTTAAAGGAACTAAATAACTCTTTTATCACTGATCTGTCCAGTACTTTATTTGCCAAAGTATTAAAATGCTCAGGACAGGTGTAACAGGTTGAATGAATTCCTGTTTTGTTCTGAGTTGAAAATTCTTTGGAATTATAAACTACAGAACAAGGTAATGGCATTATTATTATTACTACAAGTGACAGACTGCTGGTCTCAAGAGCATTTTAAAGAAATTAGACATGGATGCATTTTAAATTCAGTGAAAGTTTGTGTATTGTAATTTTGTCTTGTGCGACTGAAAAACAAAATTTTTGGGTTTGTGTGTTTCAGGATTTTGCTCTTAAGGAGATCCAAAACTATGGAAAGAAACCATGTAACAGCACCACGGATGTAAAGTTAACACATTGATCGGGCGTTCTCTGGAAAATGTTTCAAATGGCTTTGTTTAGATTTGGAATATATTTATCTGAGCTGTGTAGCTCACCTTGTTAATAAACCAATGAAACATTTTAATAAACTTAGATTAGAGGGAATGAATATTGTTTGTATGCAAATCTGTACATATGTAGACATTGGTTTTATTAGTATACTGTTACTTTAGTGCACTGTTTTGAATTGTTCTCAGATGGCATTAAGAATTTAATCCTTGCTTTTTTTTTAGTGGTTTCAATTTCTGACTGAAAGAGTACTAATCATAAAACCCAAAATACATGTATTTTAATTTCTTTTCAAATACAATGTCATATTTTTTCTAGAAAATACTTAAAATCATTCCCAATAAACTTTTAGAAAAGAGAAAGGAATTTCAGTGACCCTATATATTACTGATTACCTTTATTATATGACTCCTGGAGACATAAAAAATATGCATCTTTTTAAAAGAACTATTTTACACATGACAATCATTTTTTAATTTATTCTTTATTTATAAATTAATGTTCATTATGTCCATATTTTTAATTTGAAATGTAACCAAACTGATCATTCACTTGGTGATAATACATGTTTATCACCTTGTTTCGTACATGAAATTGTTTAGTTGGCTCAAACCTGGGTTCAGGCAGTCAGTCATCGAAGCATAATCAAATTTCTTTTACAATGGGATTAAAAAAACAGACACTTTCCGTGGATGAACATTTTCACTAGAGAGTTTATGTCTTTTACTCAGTGGAAAATAACAAGTAAAAATGGATCAGGTGCCCTCTTGATATAGATTCATTATACTTCATTAAAGTTAATGAAATTTATGACATCTGAAAATGTTTTACATTTCAGCTGTTTTACATTCAGCAAGTTCACTGCCATATTCCTATTTATTTCAGTATAAGAGGAGAATTCAATCCATTGGATTAAATTGCACAGATCTTACTGAGGCAAAGCAGTGAAGTCAAGAGAATTTTACATGCAGGAAACAAAAATACAGATTTAGCTTTTTTTCCCCCCTTCTCTGGCATATAATACTATATCAGAGTGACCTATTCGACCTGCAGTAGTGTAGACAAAATCCAAAGTGTGGCACAGCTCAGGCTTTAAATAATTATCTGGTGATGAAAGACAAGTGTGGCTGTTCATGGTTACTTCTTCTTGCAGTGGTTTCTGTACCTGCCCTATGCCTTTCAGAGTTCCCTGTACAACAGAGAAGAATTTCCTGACATTTACGTCTGAAATAGGCAACATTATACAAAATTGGATTGACTGCAGAGTTCGCAAAAGTAAATAACACTATCCAGAAGAAAACTGATGGCAAAATATTTAAATCTTTCTTGAAGTTCTGAACTAAAATTAAAAAAATAATTACTACTATTGGGCTCCACATAATGAAGAAAGAGATCATCAGCAGAAAGAGGGATCGGAATAGTTTGTAGTCTTGCTGGGAAACACGGATCTGATGATTTTCTGAGTAGGCTAAACCAGCATTTAAACTTCTTCTTGATGCTTTTGTAATCTGCAGCAAAAGAGAAGAAAGCAACTTTCACTGAAACATAGAATAGTTATTAACACATTTTTACCAGTGAAAACGATGATCTTGGCACATGATCTTTCTGTTTTCTTTTGAAAAGTGACTGCAAAAAAAGGCATTGCAGAATTCTATTTGTACTTTTTGTCAATGGTTCCATTTCAAACATTCTCACTTCACTAGCAATTTTTTTTTCCTCTCAGCTGTGAACTCACCTCAATATTAGTCAAGGTGGTTGTTCTTGTCATGGCTCTCTACCAGTCAAAAATACTTTTCAACATAAAATAGAGCCTTAATTACTCATGAAATCCCATTAAATTCAAATTATTACCTCATTTGTTCTATCTAAAGAAACCCATTGATTTCTTTCACAAATGCAAACTGGAACATAGTTAACAATCCTTGTTGATGCACAAGAAGGAACCCAATCCAATTCTCTTATGGCCATACTTATATTATAAGGTAGGTATTAGAAGAAGCATTAATTTATTATGGTAACTAATTCTGAATGTGAGTGAGATTATACGTTGCTTTGTGTCAACTTTTAGCTTCTCAATCAGTAATCAGAATTGTTTTCAATGAACTAATGTGAAATCTTACAGATTCTTTCATCACTATGAAAATCTGTGTTGTGCAAAAGTGTTCTCTGATATAATAAACCAGATTATGGGTAGTTTGGGAATCTAGTATTGATGGGTGTGAATCATCTGTCATTAGGTAGAATATTGAATCTTAGTAACTTGCAGAAAACTCTGAATCTCATGCTCTACATCCCTGCCTTCACTGAAATTGGCATGGCACAATTAAGTCTATTACATTCACATATCTAATGCAAATAAAATAAAACTGAAATCTTTAGCAAACAAACATTTATGTAAATAACTAAGATGCCACTTTATCCCCTGCATGCATAAAGAAGGGATTTTTTCAAAAGCCTTGATCAATTTGCTGTCTGAGAAGGGAAGCAGAAGGTGTAAGACTCTTCCTGCCACTTTTATGTGTGACATTTCCCTTTAGCAGAAACTACAGGAAGGATAACACTAATGCTAGCAATACTTAGTAGCTTACTGCTTCAGGTAGAGATGAAAACGTTTAGAGAGAGAGTAATTTGTCATTCATTCTGCAGTTTTCTGAATTTGTGACAGACATAGATGGCCCAGAATAAATTCTCTTTAAGAACCTAGATATCTTCCAAAGATTTCAACAGAATGTAGGGGTGTAAATCAAAACCTGTGATCTAAAAATGGGCTTCTCAGAAGGTGCCAAGCCTGAGAAGGGGACAGGATTGTGGTTAATAAGATGCTACCTCATCTTAAGGAAGTGCTCAGTGGAAATGGGTATCAGTGATATGTTATGGATCCCTTTTTGATCTGTCCAGTATATTGAATCTAGATACCTATCATTGGGCATCTGGACCACACTTGGACAAGCAGGAAATTAGAAGTCAGGTACATATAAATATGTAACTTCCAGAACACAGACATCTTTTCTAGTTCTAGCCTCCAGATTAAGTCTTGCCTGAGAGACAGAAGAGCACAAAACAAAATAAATTTCAAATCATGTCTTCTAATCTGTCATTTTTGCCAGGGTTCTGGGAAGTGTTATATAAAAATAATAGTCAATGTCATAGTAAATTGTTAAGTAGACATTTTTAAGGTATATTTGTTAACAAATTTGAGGTCTTATAATATCTGTATTCAGTCATCATCATCACCATCATCGTAGATGTTGTTATGTGAATACATGAATGTTTTGAACTGCTTCCAGCAACACAGCATCGTGCTATGTGTGCACTGGCATCATGAAGTGAGAATGAGTCTGCTCATGGGAATGACTCAGGGATTGAGACATTCTCCAGCAGATTTCTAGTTGCTTCCTGGAGATCTGTATGAGAGCGAAGATTCAATTATATCCTGCTATGGGCCTCAAACCTTTTTCAGTTCAAGAGAAATAGGGTACAGAAACTACAAGCTGATGATTTTTACTACAAGTTTAAGGCCGATCAGTAGGCAAAAACATGTAGGGACCAGATTCTAGGTTCTAGAAATATCTAGAAATATCTAGGTTCTCTGAAATATCAGCAGCTCTGGTGCATGTTTCTGCAGTCCCTTGGTGCTCAGCATTTCATCAGTTAATAACTTGCTGAATTAACTGTGTATTTTGAGGTTCCTCTCCAAAACTCACAATTTTTCTTATACATAATATAAGAAGCTTAATCATCCAATAAAGAAATCAAGAATCTTTTGGGTGCAGTTGCTAAAACCTAGGCATTGCAGTGCCTAGCTTGAAGATTTCTAGATCTTTCTCACTCTGTTTTTGGAAGAGAAGGGTATACAAAATCAGGTAGCTTAACAGGTATTTAGGTACTAATATTATGCTTGCTAGAATATAGATTAAAACTCTGTGGTGTTGAGTGTTTTGGCCTGTGTTTCAACAGTTAAACAACATCTACTTAGAAAGAAAGTGGAAGATTTGTTTGCAGCGTTTGAAACTGTGGAGGTCTAAGTATAATCTAATGAGATCTGTGTGCTAGAAACATCTGCAGAAAGCCAGCGAATCCAAAAACTGGATTTGTTTCCAGTCCTGGCTCTCTCTGCTTTCTTACAAATCTCCTATGATTGGAGTTAAGGCTTAAGGAAAGCAAAATCTAGTTTTTAGTTATTTCAAATGCTTGACTCTTTCAGCAATGACGGGTTTTAACTTGAACAACATATAAGTGGAGAAGTGTATTTAATACGTATGAAGACAAACTTTGTGTTGAGTCTCAGTGTGCTATTTAAGCATGTTCTTAGTTGAAATGTGTAGGCTGATATGTACAGGTTGAAGTGCTTCATTTTATACAAACTTATTATTTATTGATCAAACTACATCTGTTCCCTTTAGGTGTATTTGTATTCAGTGACAATATGTTGATGCCTAGTGAGTTATTGTTTACTTCCCTTGGTTCTACAACAAAAATTAAAGGAAAAACATACCTGTAAGATTTTGGAGTAACTGATGACAATGACTAATCCTTGTATTAGAAAGAAAACAATAGCAAAGGTCATATCCCAGACTATTTCTCCTGCAGTGCTGGGCCAATCCAGGGTGCAAATCTGAATCTCCTATTTACAAAGAATGAAGAAGAAAAGCAACATTGTACCATCATTTTTACTACAGCATTGTCCTTTTCTCTCTCTATGCCTATGGAAAAAATGGCTGCAGACTAAACTGAATATGGGAAAACTTTCCACTTAGACAAGTCGTGAACTAATGTATTCCTTCATAGTTTTAAAAGCCCATACAAACAGATGTGTCTGCACTGGAATATTGGCATAAATTTAATATCAAATGCTAATAGCAACTTAAAATTGAATCTTACAGACCTTAAACTTAATAATGTATTTGAGTGTCAAGTCGGGTGTACTTTTGTATGTGTTTCAAAATACTAGGCAGAAACATCTGTGCATGGCCATTTGGTACAGAGGAGGCCACGGGTGCTGTGCAGCTTTCCCAGGATGCTGATCCCTCGATAAGGGGAAGCGTGCTGGAAAGGGGATCTCTGAGCCGCACTGGGGAACGCAAAAAGAATTCCAGCCGATGACCGTTCCCCATCTAACGGGACGGTCCGCCGGGAGAGCGGGGCGGGGTGGCGGCCGAGGGGAGCTCCGGGCTCTCCTCCGGGCACAGCCGCTGCCCGCCCCAGGAGCGACGTCCCTCGGTGCGATCTCTCTCGTCGACCTCTCCCTCTCCCCCTCGGTGGCAGAGGCGGACGAGCCTTCCCCGCCGTCCGGCCCCGCGCCCCCCTCCCCTCTCCAGCCCCGCCGCCCACGGCGCGGCTCCCGCGGGCCCGCCCGGCGCTCGCCCTCACCTGGCCCGGAGGGGAGGGCAGCCGCACCACGGTGAAGAAGCAGCAGAGCGGGAGGGTGGCGAGGGCGGCGAAGCCCCAGATGAGGAGCAAGGCGGCCGCCAGCACCTTGCGGCGGCGGAACGCGGCGTGGCGCAGCCGGGCGATGCTGACGACGCGCTCCAGGCTGACGGCCGAGAGGGAGAGGATGATGACTACGCCGCTCAGGCTCACCACATAGAAGAGCATGTGGCAGACGGCGTCGCCCAGCACCCAGGACTCGGTCCAGCGCACGATGCCGATGAAGGGTATGGCGGTGATGAAGAGCAGGTCGGCGCAGAAGAGGTTGAGGACAAAGCAGTTGGCGGCGCACAGCCTGCGATGCCGCCGCACCAGCAGACAGATGCCCCAGATGTTGCCCGCCAAGGACAGCAGGAAGATGGAGGCCAGGGCAGATGTTTCGCCGACGCGCAGGGCCGTCACGTTGCGGCCCCTGAAGTCCGAGAAGAAGGGGAAAAAGGTCTTGTTCCCTCCTGGTGCCCCCCTGTACCCCAGCATGAGGGAGGCCAGCGGGCATGAGAAACGCACCATGGACAGTAGTAGCACTAGCCCTAGGGGAAGGGCTGTGCTCCCAACCACCACGGTGGCACCTGGGGTGCCCGTCCAGCACAGAGCAAGGGGCTGACTGCCATCCCCCTCCCTCCTCTTCCTCCTGCCCTTGCCACCGAGGGCTCTCCTGTGCCAGCCGGGCGGTTTATGGCCCTCACGTTGGAGTGGAACAAGGAAGTGGGAGAGTAAACACGGTGGAGCTCACACAAAGGCGAGGCTGCTGTGCATGAGGCAGTAGTGAGGGGATGCCTGACACCTCCCTGGGGAGGGTGTGGGTCAGCATGTTGCCACCTCCATGCCAAGGGGCACAGACCCAGCCACCTCCTCTAGAGCCAGCCCTGATCTGCTCAGCTTTCCAGAAGGGCCCCTGGGGTGCCAGTGACCTGGGGAGGTCACACAGTCAGCTCCCATCCACTGTGGATGTGCATGGCTTAAAACAGGGATGGCTGCCGTACCACTCCAAGAGCTCTCCTCAGGACCCTGGAATAACCAGCACTAGTCTAGGGTAAAAAAAGGGGAATTTACCCACTTCTGTCTTGACAGTGGCATTTGGAAACAGCAGACCTGTATGTACATTGCTTGTGCTAACTATGGAGAAGTTTCACTGTTGTGGTTTTAGAGATCTGTTTACAAAGTTGATCCAAAATCTTACCCATCTGTGTCATGAGTTCTTGCTGGAGAAGGCTGTTAAAGTAAGACAAACCTAGAAAATATCGTGTTTTCTCTGAACTTCAGTTCCTGGAAGCAGTTGCTCAGACTGTAAATGAGGGTAGGCCTTTCCACTTACACTCTTCCTTCCAGATGATTTGGAAATAGACTGGGAGTGAAGCGCATAAATTGTCACAGACAAGCAGATAAGGTCTCATAAAAGAAGATAAAAGGTTTTCATAAAGTATGTAAACAGTTGTATAACTTCAGACAGCTCTGGATGCATTCGTTTGGCTCAGTGCCAGGGTAGGTGCTCAGGGGTGCAGATACAGGCTGGGCGTGTGGACCTGCACCTTTTGATTAGGTGAGAGTTATTCCAAAGCAATGTGCAGATGGGACCTGGTGACCGGGCGGTGCTTCTGCAGGACCCTGAGTGTGACCCTGCCATCAACCACTTACACAACAGCATTAGTGGGGATTCCAGATTAGCGGGGATTCCAGAAACTCAGTCCTTCTAAGGGACGATCTCCTAATGAGGGATGACAAGAGTGACATCTTTCCTGGATCACTTCCCACATCTTTGCCAGTGCAGAATTTACATTGCTTTTAATTACCATGTTTTCTCTTGAGCTATCTATACTGTCTCATCAAACAGAGAGTTTGCAGGGCAGCCTAAACAGGTGGATGAAATGCTCCTACTTACTCCTGCTGATAGATGACCACGTGAAATGTGGGCACAGTTGCTGTTAAGTGGGATGGACTATGAACTCAAGTCAAGACAATGTGAAAAGTTACAAAACCTGGGGGTTTTTTTCAGCCAGCAACACAAGCAACTGGCAAGTTTCTTGATACACATACTTTATTCTACATCACTAGATGGGAGAAAAAAATCTGCACCTATACTGCAAAAGTTTCAGTAAATTTAATATTCTTACTGATAATTTGTATTTATGATCAATGCTTGCAATATCTAGCCACAATTTATGCTGGCTCTGCTATGGACTGATTCTTTAAAATGATTAGTGAATCTTGAAATACAGCAAATACCTTCCAATTGCCAACAACTTCACTGGTTTGGGGACTTTTTACAATCTGACAAACTTAGCCCAAAGTTCTGGACAGCTGGCAATAGGGATGGTGTGGTCAGTTCTGAATAGAGGTGGGGATTGGCAAAACAGCTATTATTAAAAGTCTGATTGTAACTGTGTGCAAACTTGGAAAGCATTAACAGGGCAGGTGGGGGATGGCTGAAAATGGTATCACAGATAAATACAAATTGTGTTATGAATAAAATTTTTAGTCTACTTGGCATAGGTGGAAAATGAAATTAGAAACTGGGCCTGTCAATTCAGGGTAAAAGCAAACACATTTGAAAAAGAATAGGGGAAGGAAAATATGAAGTGAAACATCCAAAGCAGCATTATTGAATAAATTAAGATACTTTCAGCCAGGGAGAAAAGGAATGCCATAGAGGAGCAGAAGGTTTGAAAATGAGATGATGTGTGAAAGTATCTAGATAGACCCTTGATCTTCTTTAGAAAGGATCACCTTTAGCTTTAGTCCTTAGGTGTGAGGGAGAACCTTACTTACTTCGCATAAGCCTGTTGTTTGCTCAGGGGAACCAAAGCAAAATGCTGCTTTTAGTATGCTGTTAGTGAGTGAGCTTCACACTGACTTGTGTACAAAATACTGTGCCTGGGGACTGCAGAGGTGTGAAGAAACATGCACGTTTCCATGGAGTTCAATCAAATGAATGAGAGCTCAGTGCAGGAACAAAAATAATCTGATTACTCATGGGTTTAATATATCCATTATCTTAAAAAGTAGTTTTCTTTTCCCTTCCATGGAGTACAAAAGCTGTATTTGCTGTTGGGTAGGTACAATCATAGCAACCACCACAATGTGAAATCCGAGGAAGGGAGGAATCATAACCTTGATAGAGCTACTCTGACATTACTGTAATAGGCGGGTACTGTGTGCGGTACTTGCACCACAGCTGCTTATGACAAGGAAGTGATTAACAGAATGCTTGGAAACCTGTTATGATTGCTTAACCTATATAACTTTTTCAACCTATGTGCTCTTTTAAGCTCAGAAGTGGTGAAACATGGAGTCAACTCAGATATCATTGTTCTAGGTTAAAGGAAAGCTGTGGGGACCTCTCTGGAGCTCTGGTTTTCCTAGTGGGGAAAAATCTTGTCTCCTTTCTTGTGGTTGTTTTATTTCATCCTTAATGAAAGCCCAAGCCGTGGCCTCCTCTGGCAGATAAGGGCTGTGCTACCTGATACCATAAGTCAAGCTCTGCTTTTCAGATTGTTCCCCTGACAACCATGAGCTATCACGACAGATGGGGATAATTCAGCTTATTTCTTGAGCATAAGAAATATTCCCAGAGAGAGGGACCACTTGGGCTAGGTGATTCTGGGAGATGGGAATTCTTGTTCCACTTGGACAAGATCTAGTAAAGGGTATTGCCTTATTTTTGCATCCTCTTGCACGTAGAATAGTGTTTAAGTCTTTCGGCCTATTGTCGTGCACCTCTTTCACAATGAGTAAATATCACTGACCTCTGTAACAGATGTATCACACATTTAATATTTGCTAAGTGATTTAAATTCATTACACTAGAAATGTTGACTCGAGAGGTTCTAAGCTTGTAGATGACTCAAACTGTGTCTGTACAATAAGGTTTTTAGCATAAGTTGCATCCAAGGTTAGCTTTTTATTTTCACTTTTCCTTTTACATACCATACTGCAGCTGTTCTGCTTCTAGACAGTACAAATTCTGCGCTTACAAGAAGTCACGCAACTGTCATACTGTGTTCCAAATACAAATCTATTTTAATTTATTTTCCTTTTTAGGAAGTTTTCTAACTACTCACCCACTGTATACTTCCATATCAGTGAGCTGAAGCATTTACACCAATATGCAAGGGACGATTTTAAATCTGGAATGCAAATATAAATGCATCTGTTTATCTTCATATAGTAGCAAGCTCTCACACTGCAGTGTCCACTGAAAAAGCTAGATGCTTCATATGTATCATCATGTCAAAAACTAATCTCTGTTTCTTCTGGGGCATGAGCAAGTCACTATTTCTTCTGAGAAGTCCCATTTTGCTGTGGTCAGTATCCATCAGAAGCTGGCATGCTTCTTGGGATATGTGCCAGCAGTGCTGTAGTTTCAAGCTGTAGCAGCAGCATTACTGACCAATGCCTCAGTCAAATGCAGAGCTGCTGATATTACTCTCAGTAGATGAGCTTTCTAATAAAAGCTGTGTCAGCTTTCTGTTGTCAAGATCACCAGAAGTTTTGCCAAAATCAGAAGTTTTACCAACATCAATATCAAACAATTTCCTTGTGGCTTTCAGTAATGAAGGGATTTCTCTCTGAACCAAGTGCAAATGTAAGAACGTAATCCATGTAACAGAGAACTCCATAGGAAGGTCATGTTGTCTCTTCTGCTGCATGCTAACCAAGCTTCACCAGGATGATTCAGCTCCAGCTAAACTGTTCTAACTAAATGAGGTTGTTTCTTAACAGTTTTAGAAACTTTATTACACTCACATATCTATCCCATGGATTTAGGGAGTTTATCAGTAAATACAGAATATCAGAATGATTTGTTTGGACGTTGCAGGATCTGGTAGAATGTTCTCACCAGGAACTGAGATCCCAAGTAAGATTTATATGGAGAATTATAGTCTGATGCTTAAGGGCCACTGAACCTTTGCTTAACTTTCAGGTGTGCATAAAGTTACTTTCTTGCTAATGAGCTTTGATGCAGAGACATCAAAGCAAATATCGTCGTGTACATCTGAAGGATTTACAAACTAAACTTGTCACCAGCCTCTCATGCTCATGAGATGTACTCAGACATTCCCTGAACACACTGGTCTGCTGGGTTGTACACTGTGCAGAGATCACAGATATCCTTGTTTTCCCTCATATTCAAGAACCCAGTGATTAGAGAATGCTCTTATTTGTGAGATTGAAGGAGAATTGGTTTGCTTTTCTTTCCCTTATGTCTCATCTTAAAGACTAACTTGTTTGGACCAACAGGGGTTCTTCAGGTCAGAACTGGGATAGAAACTTTTACTTTTACTTTTAAAAGCCACAGGGTGCCTGTCTGCTGCAAAGAAAATCTGTCCATATTGGAAGGCAAGGCACGTGCTGAACCAGCATTAACCGAGGGCTGGAGAAATAGAAAAATCACTCATGCAACAGCAATGAGAGAAAGTTCAAATAATACTTTAAATTCTTCTGTAAACCCTTCTGATTTCTCAAATGTAACACTAATCAGGATATTTTCCCCACTGTTCATGTTTAACT